TTTTCGATTTTAATTGGCTGAACAAATATGCATGATCGGGATCATCATTTCCTTATTTGGGACGTTCCTACCTGTATGGGTAGCTACCTCAAGTAGCTACGTACCTAGTATATTTTACCCATATTATCGCGGGAATCTCCAGGACACTAAAAAATTTCGCAGCCAATCAAATTTCGAGTGTAACGATAATTTATGAAACCGCCTTCTGCGCATTAATAAAAATTTTCCTTGGAAAATTTTAGTATAAGTAATCTTTTCAGATCACAATTTAATAACCCTAATTTAATAGCACAAAATTTTTACCGTTATGGTGAAATATTTTTTTTGGATTCTAACCGATATTCAGGAGATCCCCAAAAGTACCGTAACGTATCTTATGGCACGGCTAGGCCAAAATTATTACTAACGAAACCACAGCCCCCCCATTAAGTAAAAATATTCCTGAAACAATTTTACCATGAAACAGGCCAGATTTTTCGTTTCGGATTCAAAAAATTCAAAAAAATTCATTTCCAGTCAATTTTGAAGATCATTGGCCTGAATTAAGTTAATGTAAGCCAACTGTATAAATTTCATCTCAAAAAAGGTTTTTTTTTTGGCCCAAACGGTTCTAAATTCTGATAAAAATAAATTTTATTTTATTTTGTCGGAATTTAGAAACAAAAAGGTTTGGCCAACAAAGTGGACAAAATATCTGAAAATTACTATTAACTCAACTCGTACTTAGTACTATCCGCGGTCCTACTTTGAAGGCCCTGGATGATTCATTATCACGGGATAATCGATGAAATTTGTCACCTATATCATTTGCAAATAAAGGAGGGAATATCAATAATTTGTGACCGCCTTTTTCGCATAAAACAAGTTATCGATCACTCTTTGTATGACAGAATCAAATTTGAAATTTCCTAACTATGATGTCACTAGATTAGGAAGTACTACATGTGATTTTTATTTGTTACATAACATATTAATGTTGTGATACCAAAATGTTATAATATGTGGTACTTCCAGTGACATGCACCTCAAAATTTTTATTTTTTGATTTTCTCTCTCTTGATCGTTTCAGAAATTCACGTTAACTATATGATTAAACCGATTAAACGTTGTCTGTATATTTGATTTTAAATTGTTGGGCCATAAAAAAAATGAGTCAAAACCAAATGAGTTATTTTTACCTTTATGAAGCAATTTATCCTGAACTAACTTTAGCGCAGAATGCAATAAGTAAGTTTACAACCTTTTTTCCTTTTTTCCTTTTTTTTCCTTTTTCTCTTTTCTTTTCTTTCCCTTTTTTTTGAGTATCACATCAAATAGGAATATAAATGAACATATCATCAAGATCAAACAAATTTTTTATGCAATATTAAATTTTTAATTTATGGTTTATTTAACGACAACTGCAATAACTAAATCGAAAATTTGTTTATGATGCATGTTGACTATGATCTTGTACAATTTAATTCTGAATTATATAACGTTAATATTGGGCAATTTGTAAACCTTAAAGAAGAAAAGGACTTTTTTTCCTCATCTTTATTATATCAACATATTCTAATTATTCTCGATTAACATTTTAGGGTACGGTGATCCTGAAAACTCTGTTGATGATGATGATTCGGTGGAAAGTTCAGATAGTGTCGATAGTCACGAATTCGATTCATCTTACAACAGTGATGAAAGTGAAGAATTATTCTTTCAAGTTTATTCGGATGATTTTTTCTCCAATAATAGCGGCGATAAAGTCACCTCAAATAATAAAAACTCGAAACGTGATATTACGGCTCAAAATAATGATTCAGTAGGTGAAGGAAGTTCACTTCAAAATAACGGAGATAGAAAAGATAACAATTTTCCCAATGAAGAAAGTATATTTCAGAATATTAATAGAAGAGTTGTTGATTCTGACGTTATTAGAAGAACTACTTTCAATAATTCAAATGACATAAATGCGTTGCAAGGTGTTATTAAAAAAAACGTATATTCTGAAAACGAAAATATATTGAAGAATACTTCTATTAAAAAAAATGGATATAATTATTCTAATAGAGAATGCACCCTACAGGATGATCTGGAACATAATATCGGCAACTCGACTCAACGAATTGCTGATGGCTGTTTGGTTGATAATTCGGAAGTTTCATCACAAAGAAGTCTTGATCTGCTATCAGATAATAATTCAAGTGACTTTGAATCACTTCAAGATATGCTTGATATAGAAGCTGAGAATGAAGAAGATTTTTTGGATGAATTTTCTGACAATTCTATACAAGAGACTTCCAGTTACAAAACGGAATATCCTAATAATACATTGAATACAGAAATAAACAACGTTTCCCATCAGCAACTGTTCTTACATGAGGATAAAATTTTGGAGGATAATTTGCCTCAGGCTCAGGGTGGTGATTTCTTTAGTTCCTCAGCTACAACGCATTCTTTGGTTCCCTTATCATATCCATTAGTTGTAATAAACTCGGATACAAGTGTTCCTTACATTACACCATCGAAATCATCGATGCCACTGACTCCAAAAGCAAGAAGTGTGTCATCTTCGGGAGAAAGATCCGAATCACCGACAATTGAATTATCTCATGATGAATTCATGTCACCACCATCACCTTTATCATCGAAAGACCCACAAGACGGAGAGTATTATGATACCCGTAAAAAAGATAAGATCAATCGCAGCCGCCGCTCGAGAAATTCAGAAACAAAGTCCCATGCTTTACGCTCTCAATCAGTTAAATTTCAAGGTTCGAGTAATAAGCAATCTCGTCAAGGAAGACATCAATTTGATCACACGCGTATTAAAAAAAATGGTATGCCCCTTGTATGTCGTAATTGTAATACGACTTTTACAGATTCAAAGAGATTACGAGAACATTTCAGAACCCATGTAGGTGAAAGGCCGTTCGTTTGTAAGATAAAAGGATGTGATAAAACATATACGAGAGCAAGTCAATTAAAAGCACATGAGAAGACACATTCGACATAGAACCAACTATCTTTAACAAAAAAAAAAAAAAAGGCAAAATATCTTATCGTGGACTCCTTTCATGGATAATTTGAAGGGTATAGAAATTGTTATGCTAATTTTGAAGTATCGTTGTATCTTGTCAAATAAAACGATTAGATATCCCTTCAAAGGTAATTAATTTCTTCCAAATTTAAGAGAATTCTTTGTCAAATAATAGAATGTTCTCTTTGTATATAATTCAATAATGACCAGATCTACTCTTCTATGATTCATGATAACATCGAGTTGATGAATCATTATTCTTGTTTTTTTTTTTTTTTTACTTATATTGCACATATTTCTCATTTTATCACTTCATTAGTTGTTGACTATAAAGTTTGAAAATTTGGAAGTCGAGTTAATGGTTTATTGAAATAAAAAGGTTCTGCGAAAAAAATGGCAATTATCAATATATATAAATTTTATGTTTATATGTAAACAAAAAAAAAAAAAAAAAAAAACCAAATATTTTAGTTTTATACATATAATAAAATGAGAACGTTTTTGTAAATATTTGCGAAAAAAATAATGAGTAAATTGTTTCTGGTTGAATATTTCTGATTGCCGTTAGTGATTTGAACTTAAAAGTTTTGTGTGTGTAAATGTATTGTAAAACGGAAGGGTTTCAAACTCATTTATCCTAGATCTCAGTTTATCCATCAAGGTAATTGGGAATTCTTCATTGAGTCCATTACCAACTTCCCTAGACCATGAATAATTTATAGAACAATAAAAAGTTTAGATGTTTAAAGCAAATAGCTGTATTTATGTAAATATGATTTATTTAATCAGATTATTATTTTTATCCTTATAAAAAAAACAGAAAAGCCAAATAAAAGGATTTATAATTAAAAAAAATAACTACAGGTTAACCCCGTTAATATCAACTCATTTGGATTAGACAATTATGTTGATATGTGCGAGGGTTGATAACAACGGGATAGTTTTTATATAGCCTAATCCTATTTTTTCTTAATAAGAGGTTGATATTAACGGGGATAACCTGTATATTTATACTATGTACTGTATTGTTACAAAATACGACCATGAGCCCCTCTATACGTATTTCGGGGTCCTAATCTAAGCATGACTACTTTAAGCTAAATATATTCATGAGTAAAAGAGTTTTGCAAGAAATTTAATATTATAATCTAGATAATAAGATTATAAAAAAGTAGCATATCAGCCTAATAATGCAGAACTATCTTGCTGAAAAAAATAAAGAGATGCGAAGAAACTCTCAGACCTAGCTTATATTTTATATTGATGGATTGCTAAGAAATAATAAAGCATCATTTTAGTCCAAGCTGGACAAAATAGAAGCAAGCTAGATATAAGTAGATGAAGTTAAAATAATAGATGAGAGTTACTTTGAGCAAGAAATTAGTTATCTTCAATAGAGGCAAAACTACTTGAAATCTAGTGTATACTCCTCATTATATCTAGTAGAAGAAAGTCAAGATTTATATAGAAAATAGATATAAAATTATAGAAAACCATCTTTAAGAAGCAAACATTGCTTTATATTAAAAAACAATAGTAGCAACCCTAATAGACATTTCTTATATATAGATCTCAAACTTATATACAGTATTAGCAATAAAAAATTAAAACCAAAAAAAGAAGCACAAATATAATACTGCTTTGTATTATAGAAAATGATTAGAAGTCAAAATAGAATAAGATATACAAGTTCAAGAAAGAATAAATACTTATAATAGATATACTAATTATGTTCTATATAAGAAGCTGCTAATACTAAAAATACTAGCAAGTAAAAACTAAACCTATATAATAACTCAAATTGTATAACTTGCAAAAAAAGCAAAAGGAGAATTAAAAAATTTAAATCAAGGACTTACTGTATATATGCGATTTTTATATAACAAAACTATCTGTGGGAAGCATGTTGGTATTGTTTTACAATTAGACCTCTTTTTAAGAATTTCTTTTTTTAGTTTTGTACTTGCATTTAGACTTAGCTACAGGGCTTTGCATTTAATAATGGTGCCTTCTTCTGAATTACAAAACTAAAAATCTTAGAATTTTTTGCCTTCAGCCTAACTTGAACTGTTGAGCTAGTTTGTAGGAATTTGGCAGCTTAACCACTAAACTATAGAGCCTAAACTTAACTAGATAAATAAATTAGAATATAATGTAATAATAATGTCACAGCTGATGCTAAAAATAGCTGATGCTGAAATTCAGATCTATTTTAATATGAATTTTTTAAAATTTTTTGGGTGTTTTTTCTCCACTTTTTTTTTATAGTTGAGTTAGTGTTTAGAGTTAGACTTGATAATTAACAAGTATATGTGAATTTTAGCAGAGCTTATATTTTTAAATCGAGACCCCAAATTTCAGCTTTAGCCATTTTCAGCATCAGCTGTGACAATTAATATAGTATAAAAATATATAAATCCAATAATTTTTAAAATTAATATTATATATCAAAAGTGATAGATTAAGGTGAAAAGATGAGTTTAATATAATAATTATATTATTTTTATTTATTTTTTTTTTTGGTATTAAGGTGACCTCTTGGTTGTCTCCTTTTATTCAATTATTGTTAACTTTTATAGTATAGTGTACCAAACTGTATATATATTTGGAGAGTATAACTAGCTATATATGCAACTTTTGATTGCCTATTTAAGTAAACATCTAAAGGTTCTACACTAGCTGCTATATCTATAACCCTACCAAGTTACCCATTTAAATCTTCTGCACCCAGGGATGGTAAATGACCTTCAAATGACCTTCAAATGACCTCAAATGACCTCAAATGACCCCAAATTTATTATGAATTTTAGTCCGAAATGATCTAGATCATTTGAAAAAAAGGCAAATGACCTCCAATTTTACCATCCCTGTCTGCGCCTATATACATTAATCATCTAATCAAGCTAGGATATGAAGTATTCTCTTATTTTCAGACACTCGACTTAGAACTTTAAAGCAGATTTTTATTGAACCTTTTATCCTCGAGGTAAACCTACTAGAGCCTTCCATATCTACAAATCTGACTGACCTAGATTTTCAGTAACTTATACCGAGTCTGAGAACAAGTACTTGTGAGCCGAAGCTGCTACTGTTACCTACTACTGCCCTTATAGAGTTTATCCAAACCCTAACATATACTATACAGACTATTTCTCATACACCTGTTATCCCAAACTTCCAATCCAGATAGCCCAAAAGGGCTGTAACCTGCCCTTGGTCCTCATGATTGGATCCTTTTTCTCCGGTTACTCTCCGGTGACCTGGTTGGTAGAATGTCTTGCTAAACACTTTGGTCCTGTTCAGTTTTTTGGTTTTCTGATTAATAATCCTTTATATAGTACTATCAAAGATCTGTGCTACCTCTCTACTCAGGTCTTGCTAAGTAGGCTCCTATATACACTAACTTTGGATTTACACAGCTGTTTCACTTAGGTTTTGTATAACTCGTATATTATACTACATTTCACAGCCTCTCAGTACAACTGGTACAACTAGATTACAGATATCAATTTGTCCAATTACACTCACAGTCTGCCGTAACACATTCTGGAATTTGAATTTTTGCTATTAGTGGGATTCGAACTCTGATTGCTGCCACTTGGGAGTGTGACAACTTTACTACTACACTAAGTCGCCACACCTTCTTATATTAGTTTTATTGTTTTTTAAGGTATATAGTTTGTATATATATATTATATAATACAGTCAGACCTCTTTATAATCACATCCTATATAGTCACACCTTTATTTAAGCACCCAATTTTGTATAACAAACTTAAAATATAATAAAAAAACCTCATTATAGTCACAAATCACTTATAATTACTATCACTTTAAAATATAATTTTTAAGTCCAATTTATTAATAAAAAACCTCTTTATAATCACTAATTTATTAATTAAAAGATTATTGACTAAGTTAATTATTCTTAAGTCTTTAAGTAAAGTTGTAGAGCTCATTAAGATGAATCTAAAAGTGGTTAAATCATCAAAATCAACTTAGTAGATATTGAGATATCTTTGAAAACCATTTTGCCGATTAAAGAAAAATACTTTCAAAGAATTTTAGTTAGCGAAACATTTTTTAAAGATATCTCAGCAACCACTAGGCCGATTTTAATAATTTAACTACCATTAAATTTGTCTTAATGAGCTTTACAACTTTATTTAGAGATTCAAAGGTAGTTAACTTAATACAAAAAAAAACTTTTAGATGTATGACAATTATAATTAAAAATTATTAATTAATTATTGATTGGCTGAAGATCATATAATATTAATCTGATATTTGTTTATAGTTGCACATATGGATTCTGTGCCAGATTATATCAATCATTATTGATCGTTTATTACATAATAATGTTCGGGTAAACAAACATGCATAATTCGAGTAGAACTTATTCTAACATGCATAATTCGAGTAGAACTTATTCTAACATACATATATACTATATAATATTATAATCAATAAAGACTTAATACGTAATTTTAATTAGAAATTTCATAACAATATACTATTTTTGAAGGTTCAAATACTGGTTATATTCACATATCAAAAAATAATATATAAAGTTCATAAATTTTTGAACTTTTATCTTTTATTAATAATAATAAAATGCTGGGGTTTTTAATTATATGGAATATTGAATTCTTTTTATGCACGTACATAGTAACTAGTTTGAAAGTTTGATATGATAATCAAAGACATTCAAACAAATAATGCTGCAGTAACTTTAAAATTTGTATTATATTATTATCAAAAGCAGAAATACATATATATGATTTATCAGTTTTTATTTATCGCTATTTTCAAATTAGTACAATAACTGACTTTTAGGAATCCTATAAATCCTCTGCATATTATCATTGTTTTTAAAATAGTAATATGCAGAGGATTTATATGATCCGCAGAAGTCAGTTATCGTACTAATTCGAAAATATATATAATTTGGTCTTTATTACTTATGCATATAAGCTTATGACTTATTAGTACTTTTAAAAATTTTATTTTTTTTTTTTATAGTCAAGGTTAGCCTCTTTGGCTTATCACTTTTATTAGATATTAGGATCATATGGTGCCCTTATCAAAGGGGCCCCAGACAAGTACATTCTGATGAAGATACATTCTAGCCATATCTGCATCTTTTGAGTACCTAATTAAGTATACTACCTATGTACTAGGTGCTACACTAGATGTCGTACCTGTAACCTACTATTACTGGAGCTACTCAATTAAACCCTCTGATCTGAGTTTCCTATATCAATCCATCTAATCTCACCCAGAACATGCGATACATAAGTCAGTCCAAGTTCCGAGATCATCGCGTCCACCTATAGGACTACCAGTATAGTTAACCGATTCATCCTTGAGTGCATCATCTGCTAGAGCAGTCCGGTACTTACTATTCCTGTATTACCTAGTCTTCTTCAGTAACTTACGCCTAGGCTGAGATCAAGTACTTGCGAGCCGAAGCCGCTACCGTTATCTACTACTGCCCTTATAGAGTTCACCCAAACCCCGGTACATCTACAGACTTTTCCCGGTCATAACATCAATTCCAAACTACCAATCCAAATAGCCCGGAAGGGCTGTGACCTGCCCTGGTTCCCATGATTGGGTCCTTTTCCTCCGGTTACTCCTCCAGCGGCCTGGTTAGTGAAGTGCCTTGCCAAACACTTCGGTCCTGTTCAGTTTATCCGGTTCCCCAGGTAGTAATCTGCATATAGTACCATTAAAGATCTGTGCTACCTCTCTACTCGGGACTTCCCAAACGAGCGCCCCACTGCCGTATTGGCTCTGTGGCTTTTTGCGATTCTGAAAGGACTTATCTTGGGTTTGTACCGACTAAACTAGCTTGTATGCCTTTGTGTAACTCCTTTATTACACAAATGCCCCAGAATCTTCCAATTTTTATCTTGGTACGATCACAGTTACAGGGTCTCAAGTTTTCCCAGCCACAACGATAGTTGCCGAATCCGTTTTTCTAAATTCAATTTTTCGCCTTCCGTAAGAATTGAACTTATACTCTACCACTTGGGGGTGCGACAACTTCACCACTTCACTAAGTCGCCACACCCCCTACTTTTAAAAATTTTACTGTATCAACAATATATAAGTTTGATAAAACAACCTGTTGTAAAAAATTTTAACTTCTTTTTTCTGTAATTATATAGACTTTTTTTTTGATATATGCTATATATATATATATATATTTTTTTTTTTTGATACATATGCTTTTTTTTTTAATTAATTTAGACTAAATTGCGAAATTGAAAATATCATAGCATTGCAAAATTTTAAACTCTGATATTATAAAAATTTTTTTTTCTAAGTAATTTTATTTTGCTATAAACTTGGCACCAATTGTTAACAAAATATGAACTTAAATTTATTACTCAATCCAAATATATCGAACGAAGCAAACATGTTACCTAACTATGTTGCAACCGTATTTCTGGTGAATTATGATTATTTTATTATTAAAATTTGTCAACTTCCGGACTATATTACATTTAAAAGGTTCTTAGTTAATTAATTTGAAGCAAATCTTTTAATAAATGTTAATAATGTTGAAGATGTACAAAAATAGTTTGCTAATTTTAATGAGGTGTCGAAAATAATGATGCTACAAACTAAAGGCTATCAACTTAAAGAGCAGAAGGTCTTTTTTAGACAATTGCAACATTGTATATACAGCAACATAGTTAGACAAAAACAAGGAAACCCTGTTTTAAAAAATCCTAATTTATTACGAGTTAGAAATACTAAATATAAGGCTACTATCTATCTTTGGATTAAGCAAAAAAAACTTCAAACTGATTATCTACTTGAAGTAAACATTAAATATATACACAATCATGTAGTTCATTCTGCAAAAGCCCTTAGTTTCAGATATATCAAAGATAAAGTTCATGATATATATATTGAACTTTTTAAAAATGGATACTCACTAACTACTACCTGATTTATATATGAGGACAGCCTTCATTTGTATACAAATAATGATCAAGAACTCATGTAATGGTTGGCAAATTGTACACAAAATCCTAATCATGATTATGTTTCAGATTTATTTAAACAATTTCTGCGAAATTGTTTGAGCAAAAAAAATAGTAAACTTATAGTCTAACGACTTAAGGACAAAATCAATTATTATAATAATTCTGGCAAAGATTATGCTATTCTTTAGAAGTATGACTTTCAGTCAAATAAAGCTTTTTATTTTATATATTATCACAAACCTAATAGTTCGAATTCATGAAAAAATCAAACAATCAGAGGAAATTTGTTATGTTGATGCTTCAGCGTCCTTTGAACCATTAAACACATCAACTACTTTGTTCTACACAAGCTGTATCACAGAAGCATTACCTCTTGGCCTAATTATAACATCAAATAAATTGGAAATAACCCTTAAAAAAGGAATAATGATGCTAAAATTACTTCTTCCACAATGTGCATTTTTTGGCTGAGGGTCTGATCTTGGTCCAATAACTTTTCTTACAGATGATTCAAATTCTAAATGTAACGCATTAGGGCATTGCTAGCCAAATTCTAACTGACTATTATGTATATTTCATGTTCTTCAAGCCTTTTGGCATTGGTTATATAACTCAAAACATAATATAAATAAAGATCATAAAATACCTATAATGAATATTATAAAAAAGATATTATATTCACATACTGAAGACGAAATGGTGAAATATTATAATGATCTAAAAATTAATTATTATAATATCTATCTATAATTGCAAAGGCACTTCAAATGACTTTGGAATCGATGACAATTTTAGGCAGTATTGTTTCGTTCTAAACTTTTCTTGCAGGATAATAATATCAATAATTATATAGAGCATAGTTTCGGTTTGTTAAAAGATATTATCTTCTCATATATCTAGGCATATAATAGTGTTTAAGTGTTTAATTTTATTGTTACAAGTATAGAGCACTATTACAAACTCTGATTACTTAAAATAGCCTACTCACATTCTAACTATATTAGAATCACTAAAAGATTTTTATGTTCCAGTTGGAATACAATCGATGCAATAAAAATTCGATCAACTAAAATTAGTATAAAGTACTTAGTCCCAAGTCAAAAAAAAGGAACCGGATTATTTTATATTGTCAACATAGAATTCTGTATATGTATATGCTTTATCAGGCTTTCTGGAGCACCATGTAAACATCAAGGTGCAGTGGCTGCAAATATAAAATAGAGTTCTTAAATTTTTTTCTATCTCTATCACCTAACGATTATGCTTGTTTTGCATATATTGTGCATGATAAGTAGCAATAATTTAATTTTTAATTTAAAAACTATTTTTGAATTAATATTTATTACAAATTTTATAATTAAGGAATCATGGCAGATACTTCTTTCTATGCATCGTTACATGCTTACAAAAATAGTAACCATGATGAATCAAATATAAATAGAATATTAGTAACAAATCAGATTGTAACTGATACAGATGCGAATGTGGATGCGAATGTAAATGCAAGTATAAATGTAGATACAAATGCAAATATGTAAGTTTTTTTTTGGTTTATTCAAGTGACTTTAGATTTGTAATTAAAGAATTGTTTATATAACCCTTTTTTTATTTAATAAAGATATAATTATACAAATGTGAATGCAAATGCAGATGTAAATATGAATGCAAATGTGGATGCAAATGTGGATGCAGATGTAAATGTAGCAACTGATGTGTAGGTTTTTTTTTTGAGTTTTTACAAGTATTTTTAGATTTGTAATTAAAAAATTAACTATAAAACCTTTTATTTAATAAAGGTTTAATCGTGCGAATATGGATGTGAATGCAGGTGTGAATATGAATACAAATATGAATGCAAATGTGAGTACAAATGTAGATACAAATGTAAATGTGAGTGTAAATATAGTGACTGATGTGTAGATCTTTTTTTCTTTTAAATTTTTACAAGTATTTTTAGATTTGTAATTAAAAAATTAACTGTAAAACCTTTTATTTAATAAAGGTGTAATTGTGCAAATGTGGATGTGAATGCAGATGTGAATATGAATGCAAATGTGGATGTAAGTATGGGTGCAAATGTGGATACAAATATGAATATGGGTGTAAATATAGTAACTGATGTGTAGGTTTTTTTTTTTTGAGTTTTTACAAGTATTTTTAGATTTGTAATTAAAAAATTAACTGTAAAGTCTTTTATTTAATAAAGGCATAATCATGCGAATGTAGATGTGAGTGTAAATGCAGATGTAAATGTGAATGCAAATGTAGATACAAGTGTGGGTATACATGTGGGTGCAAATGTAGATACAAATATGTAGACCTTTTTTTTTGAGTTTTTACAAGTATTTTTAGATTTGTAATTAAAAAATTAACTATAAAGCCTTTTATTTAATAAAGGCATAATTGTGCGAATGTGGATGTGAATACAGATATAAATGTAAATGCAAATATGAATGCAAGTGTGGATGCATATGTGAGTGCAAATGTAGATACAAATGTATAGATCTTATTTTTTGAGTTTTTACAAGTATTTTTAGATTTGTAATTAAAAATTAACTATATAAACCTTCTTATTTAATAAAGACATAATCATGTGAATATAGATGCGAATACAGGTGTGAATATAGATGCAAATTTGGATGTAAATGCAAACATAGCAACTGATGTGTAGGTTTTTTTTTTATTTTATATACGTACTCCTAGATTTGTGATTAAAGATATTGTCTATATAACTTTTTAAGATATAATTCAGAGTTTTTTGATATATTTTATAAAACAATAAAGAACAATTACGAACATTGTAGACTACATTTTCAAGCAGCCCTTGAGAAATTGGCTGAGAGATACAATGTAGCAAAAGCTAAGTCTATCCTGGTGTTAACATCCTTTCTTTATAACATGAATCGTAATTCAGACCCACTTAGGCGTGTAAAGAGTAGTGCTAAAATTCATGTACAAGTTGAATCAGGCAAGCGTAGAAAAACTAAATCAAGTATAAAGAAATCTGGTGATAAAAAAACTATGATCATGATCCTCATGTTATTCTAGTACACAAGGTTAGAGCAATTAGTAAAAAAGACATAATCTTAGTTAAAACATCAACAAAAATAATTTGAATTAATAGCATGTTTATAAGTATTGTAAATTTTTTATAAAGCTATTCTATATAGTTAATAATCAACACAAGTTAGATGCAATTTACTGATTAATTATAAGTCAAAATGAATATATGAGTTAAATATTTAAACACTACAATAATATTTGAAGTAGCATATTTCATACAGTCAACAATAAATTTTAAAGGAATATAAAATTTATCCTTTAATTTACTATAACTGAGTGTGTTTTTTTTTTTTTATATAGATAGTAATAAATTTTTTGTATATATCATTTTGTAATTGATAATAATCACTTTTAAAATTTTAAAATAATTTAATTTGAATTTTTTCAATTTGTAACTATAACGATAGTGAATACAATAAGAGTTCAATACATATTACAAAGCTACTATAGCTACAAACTAAAAAGGCCTTTTATTTCTTATGTGCTCATAATACTATTATTGTATAACTAATGCTTATTACTGAATTTATATATATAAATATATTTATTGTTAAAAATTATTAGCAATTGGATGACAAAAGCATTTAATAACTTCAAGTACTTTACAATTCTGATTTAATTTTAAATATGTAATATATTTATTCTTATTTTATTTTATTTTATTTTATTTTATTTTTTTTTTATATATTGGCAGCCTCGCCGGTATCTTTATTAGATCAAAGCATATATATATACATATATTTAAACTA